TCTCTCTCTCTCTCTCTCTCTCTCTCTCTCTCTCTCTCTCTCTCTCTCTCGAAAGCAGACTGGAGATAACAAACAGAACCTCCATACATCAGTGAAAAGCGTAAGGTTCCTCTAAAGAACAAAAAAAGCATGTAAACAGTTACGCGTTGTCTGTTTGTTTTAGTTTAATAAGGTTTTTACGGCGCTCGCAACTGCATAAAGTCTTATGAGCGCCAAAGGGTGGATGTCAACAGAGAAGTCCATACAGGGAACCAGGCGCCTCTAAAGAGCGAAATCTGCACTATCATGGCACCCCGGAAATAGCAGTTCACAAGAGAGTGACAAACATACAAAAGAAGTAGAAGGGAAAATGACAATTGTATGGATGGGGAAAGAAAAAGCAGCAGTTCCCTCTATGATGTTCCGGCACAGTATGAGCATGACGTTGATAAATCAGCCCGTTTACAATTCTACTGTGCATAAGAACATGTTACTGTCCCCCCTTTGGGAATGGCCTAAAGACAACTTCAGTCAGTAGCACTGCTCTAGTGGGGGGAGCGTAGTCTGTACTCACTGAGTCATGACAGCCACTTTCGGCACGGTATTATATCTATGACGAGTAGGGTGTTAATCTTATTCGAAAGTGATGAAATGCTTATGTATTTTCACAGACGGCCCTGGTCAGGGGCACAACACTGGCCACTGAGCACATGAGGAAAGATAAAGGAGGAGCCGGGGGGGAGAGTGATTAACATCAGTTCTACCGTTGGTGAGGATACAGACAAATGATGTTTGTGTTCGTCTACCCGTCCTCTTTCCTACCCCTCCCTCCATCACCTCCTTTTGAGTCTTTCTATGTGATGTGGGTGGGGGAGGGAGAGTGAAAAGGGGAGGGGGGTGAGAGGGTGTAGTCAACATCATGCTTCCCGAACTTTTCGTGCTATTTATTTTATACAGGTAAATACTGTTCTCTACGAACAGTTCTCTACGTGTGTCCGTCTCAACCTTCAGCTCTTTCACGGTCTCTTGATCTGTTTATATATCCGTCTATCTGTGGCGTCGGTAGCCTAGTACTTAGGCTACCGGACTCGTAGTCGTGAGGTTGCAGGCTCGGGGGTTCGAGCCGCGGGGCAGACGTTGTGTCCTTGGGAAAGGCACTTTACTTGATTTTTCTTCATTTCTCTCAGGTGGGAATGGGTACCCGGCCTTAAGCCCCATTTAGACGTACAGTTTGTTGATCGACAAACTGTAGGATATCGAGAGGACGGCAGGCATAATGTCAACTTCACGTGGAAACTGAGCGTGAAGCGAGCAATCCTCTCGATATCGAGCGAAGGGGTCTCCGTCCAACCACCAGATATCTGGCGATGCCAGATATTTGCCGGCCGGCGAACTGAAGAGGTGACGACGAGGGAGCGGCTTCTTTGGTGTTGCTCCAGGCGCAGTTTAAAATGCATTCCAAAAATTTCCTAAATATTCGTCAAATCAAAAAAAATAATAAGGTTTTTGTGATCAGCGACCCAAAATTAGGAAATTTCAAACGGTGAACGCAATTTAATCGCGGATTACCTAGTTAAATTCTTTCTGTGTGCTTTCTTTTGTTTTACCATTCGCCCGCCCCTTCATTTTTGAAAGGGGAGGTACCGAAAAAGTAAACTGTACTACAATTTATCGAACTTTATCGAACGTTGCCAGCATTGTGGAAATAGAATATATGTGTGTGTGTGTGTGTGTGTGTGTGTGTGTGTGTGTGTGTGTGTGTGTGTGTGTGTGTGTGTGTAGATACTTCTTTTTAATAGCCATTCTTTAGCCGAGATGGTCCTCCTTCTAGATTTCTTTTTGGATTTGAGAAAAAAAAATGATACCAAATCATCCAGGTAACCTGCTTCAGCCATTTTATTAACGTTTTGACCTAGATATTGATATCTAGCTACAACAGTCCAAGGACGGATAAAAAAAAACTGTACGTCTAAACGGAACTTCTCTCGTCGACAAACTGTCAGTTTACCGATGACCCAGATCCAGCGTCCGTCAGTTAAACTGTCAGTTTGTTGACCAACGAACTGTATGTCCAAATAGGGCTATAGACAGCGAAAGATCTAGCCAGTATGTTAGTGTTTTAGCGCCTAAAAATGGCCGCTTGCACTGTATGCTTCCCAGGAAGTTGAGGTTGTTTCAGAATGCTCTCAGGTCTGCTGGGGTATAGATTGTGAAGAGCATAGAGCTTGCTGTTGAGCGGGGATTTGTGCTGTACAAAGGCTATCTATCTATCTATCTATCAAATCTATCTATGTATCTATTATTATTATTATTATTATTATTATTATTATTATTATTATTATTATTATTATTATCTGTCTGTCTGTCTGTCTGTCTGTCTGTCTGTATGTCTGTCTGTCTGTCTGTCTAATCTATTTGTCTGTCTACCTGTCTATCTCTCTATCTACCTATCTTTATCTTTATAGCATACAATATATCCAAAAGAAACTTGAAAATATAATCACCCAATCATCGTGTTAAAGCCTTGCACTACCCACTCATGCATCATACTAATTTAAAACTAATTAAATTCTGCATCATCTGACACATTAATATTTCATTTGTGTTAAGGCACGCCCGAGATATGGTTACTCAAAACTGATCTTTAAAAAAGGCTTGGTAAAATTGTACGAAATCAAAGAAACGTAAAACTGTCTTCGTGCGTGTATTGGGGACCATCAATATTGATAGAATGGACATACATTGCATATCCAGTGTATGGAGAATTCTGTTTCCGCCATAAACAATATTTCATTGCGATTATTTCAAACAAAAGGGAAAACAGAGCAATCACAGACACCACCCAAAACTTGGACTTAACCTTAAATGGTCGCTTTTAAGCACAAGGGGGCTATCCCGAAAAATGCTGTTTTAAGAAGATCGGAGGTAAAGTTTTTGGACCCACTAAATCTACCTCTGCGTATTTGTTTTCAAATGACTTCTTCTGTGGTGTTGCATGAGAGTTAGTTATGACCTTGTCTGCATACACCTATAAGTTTCTGACAATTATTTTCTCGATTAAAAAGAAATTAAACAAAAAGTTGGGTTGGCTCAGTTGTGCAGATATGCAGAAAACGCTTTTGAAGCAAATTTGGGGGCGAAATGGGCTATCCCATTCAAAATAAGACATACCTTTCTATCTGGACTATTCCTGCATTGAAGTGATATACCAATGGCCTATCCCCTTTACAGTGGGCTAACCCACCAACCTTGTCAACTCTTTATCATTGGGGTAAGTGGTCTAGGCTACCCATGTGAGCATTACATTTTAGAATTTTCTACCAAACAGATTGGTACTATTATGTGGAACAGTACTCAAATGAAAGCTGGTACAGTACAGAAAAAGACTGATTTTTCAAAAATTACCTGATATGAGAATCTCGTAGCCTTTGGGGTCATTTTCAACAGCGACAAGCAGTGAACACTTCACTTGGGGTGTCGGCCATTTGGGGGGGGGGTTAGCCCATTTTACAAATTTCAAAAGTCTGCAGTTTCTATAAAAGACAAGGAGAGTTTGCTCTATAACCAAACAAATATTCACACCAATGAAACCAAACTTCTCCTATAAGTAGGACAATGCCCACTTTTGGTGTAGATTCAAGATTTTTGGAGACCTTCGAAATCTGGGTTAGCCCGACCAAATGTGCTCATTATTTTTCGGCCCAGGAGCATTGGTTTCGTTTAGAGCTCGAACCCTTTGGGCATCGAATGTATTAGATATTGGACATGATTACCTGTCATTTCTCCTCAAACGTCAGAGAAAGTTTCAAACAATTGGTCTGAACTGGGAGCAAAACCTTCAGTTGCTGTTTCATGGAACTTCACATACTCGTAGGATTCATATCGGGATATCCGGGCTATTTACTGGTGACCACTCCAACGTTGATATGATTTGGTTTTCCAAGAATTTTCTAAGGGTATTGGCCCTGTAAGAAAATGTTTTGCTATGCATGGAGATGTCTATTTGAATGACACCATGAGGAAAATAATTATAAGACGTGACGTTTCATGATCCAGCACTTGCACGACGTAGTCCACTGATCCAAGCTACCCGGTGATTCTCACGTGGGCGGTTTTGTTCATTCTACCCCAGACCACCCAAAACTATGACAGTTTCGTGGCCTCTTTTCCTCACTGACAGATGATTAAGTCTAAAATCTAATACAGTCCATGTGCAAAAAATGTAAACCAATAGCACCTAAACAAAAACACAATTGTGCACATGTAAAGTTAAATCAAAGATTCGCGTGGTATTTGTGACTGCTCTGTTTTCCAATCAATTTGAAAACATCATCAGAAGACGTTGTTCATTACAAAGGCAAAATTATTTTCTTTTCATGTGATATTCAATACGTGTCAGGTTCCCCCAATGGTAACCACGAATGTTGATGCAACCTCAATATACGCGCGAACACACTTTTACGTTTCTTTGATTTCACACAACTTTGCAAAGCCTGATTTTTTAAGGTCAATTTTGAGTGACCATGTTTCAGGTGTCTCTTAACATAAATGAAATATTAATGTTTCATATGATGAAAAATAAATATAGCTTTAAATTGGTAGTCTGCATGAGTGGGTAGTGCAAGGCTAGAACGCGATGATTGCGTTATTACGTTTTCAAGTTTCTTTGGACGCCACTGTATATATTATATAATAATACATATACACGGGCAACTGCTTCGACTGGCAGGCTAGACCTTGTGAGGGTAGCCGGCGGGTCCTAGACCCTCGGTGATTTTTCTTAACGGTTTGCCTACCCTAGCATGTGAAGGCTGGTTTCCCGGCAGATGAAGCGGATGAGATCCACGGAAGATCCAACTTAGGCCGAGAGAGTGGGACTGCCACCGTTCAACGACAGCTCCACTTTAAACAATGTCACGCACAGGTTCATTCTACAGCTCATCATCATCTTCATCATCCACACTATCACCAAAGCCCTGCAGCGATAGGCAAGTGGCGAAAGTAAGAGGGGCAGGTGAGCCCTGGCAGTTATAGTCACAAACCTGCACACAGGCGGCCATTGGGCAAGTGTTCGTTTGACTCCTGACCGTGGCAGCAGGATCTCTCGGCAACACTCAGTGGCGACTGGGCAGCCTCTTAAGGACTGCACTGCCCACCCTCAAGGAGGGAGGGGTCTAGAAAAGGTGACCCAAACAAATGCCTGCCCACTCAAAGTCTGGTCAGTTTACCGCGGCTGACAGACTCGTCCGTTTTGCGGTTGAAAACAACAAAAAAGAAAAGAAAGGAGGCGCTCTTCGCCGATGACTGCTCCTTGAATGCTCACTCCGAAGAGGACCTGTAAACAATGCTCTCTCGCTTTGCAGAAGCCTCAAAGCTTTTTGGGCTTACAATAAGCATCGGAAAAACTGAAGTTCTTCACCAGCCTGCCCCACAAACTAACCCACTATCTCCAAACATCACTATCAATGGCAACAGCCTGAAGAACACCAAGAACTTTAAATATTTTGGAAGTATCATCTCTGCAGACGGCTCCATCGATCAGGAAATTGATTCAAGAATCAGCAAAGCCAGCCAAGCTCTCGATAGACTGAAAAACAAGGTAAAACAGCACAATGTCCGGCTGTCAACAAAAATCAAAGTGTACAAAGCCGTTGTGCTTTCCTCCCTCCTCTGCGGTTCAGAGACCTGGACACTCTACAGGAAGCACATCAACAAATTAGAGCAGTTCCATCAAAGGGCTCTCCGCAGCATACTCGGCATCCGGTGGCAAGACCGCATCACCAATATTGAGGTCCTCAACCGATCAAGCTCACAAAACATAGAAAGC